CTATGAAAAAAAAAAATTTTCGATCGGTCCATTATTTAAAAAAATAATTGACATGGTCACGTTAGGTAGATCACTCTGTATTTTTCAAGAACACTAACCTAACCTAATTATTTGAAATATCACGAACGAATAAATTTAGCGATTTTTCTATTCGGTTGAAGTTTTTCTCACGATGTTCACTCACTCATCTTGTGATGGCTTCGCATGCGGGGACGTCTCTTTATGGGGGCCATTTTTTGCTTACTATTGCATCCGAAATTCCTTCAGGGAGCAGCGACGCCTGTTCGTGAGCCGTCGTCGTGGTCGTTTCAAGAATGGTTTCGTCGATTAATCCGAATTTATCCAGGTTTTTCATCGGTCGTGGCGCGAAATTTTGTCTACGAATTTCCAGGACATTGATGGAAAAAGGAGAGAGACATGACCGGCGGTGCCAATCCGTCGGTACCTTCTTCGGCCTTTTCTCTTCTTCTTTTCTTTTTTCTCTTCCCTTTTATGAAACAAGGAAATCTCGTACGATCGATTGTGCTCGCACGTTCCTCTTTCCTTTTACGTGTCTCGTAAAGCAAGCGTTGCCTTTTCTTATTTATTTTCGTGGCTTATCGCGTGAAGTTGCCGAACGTCTCCGCCGTTCCATGTGAAATAAACTATTATGGAATCGAAAATTGAAATTCAATCGTATACTGCGGGCTATTTATTTGAATTACAAATTTTTTAGACAAAGAATACACAATTTTTTATTTATTTAAGATGGATTGTAAATTGGTGAAATAATATAATCTGGAACTGTAAAATTTAATGTTGAAAGATTACATTATACATTATTTTTAAATTACACAAATTTGAATATAGGAAACATATTATTAATTGAAGAGAAGAGCCTGAGTGAAAATTAGCATTCGAGGATTAACCCTTTCGCGAGCAGCGTGACTCACATCTCCCACAGAAATTGACCTGAATTTAGTATCCATGATCGATAGATCAAAAAAATACGATCGTGTCACGAAAATATGAATTAAACCCACCCCTGAAAATTATGATAAAACTAAAGATAAAAGAAATAAAGAAAAGGAGACATTTGCTTGCGACAAAAACACGGTAAAAATCACAATAAACGAAATTCTTCCGTTGTGCAATTTTTCATTCATTAACTTTCCGGATGCTGTACTCTCGGCAAACACTGCACGTTTCCTCATTTCGCGTTTTATTTACCTCTGTGTACAATCACATCCACGCAAAAGGAAATACCCTCGAATTTATCGCAAAGTTGTCGGATCCAAGCCTGTCGTATTACGAGGCGGTGCGCGCTATCATTGTAACATTCGAACTATTCCCCGTCTGTTGACCCTTTCATCCACTTTTCGCTCACACACGTACACAGAGAGGTGAATTCACGACTTCCGTCTCGTGGAACCCAATAGCGGCGATCACGGGCTCGCGAAGGGTGACGAGGTCAAACACCACGGCTTGAGGATCGTCGACGTCGCCTTAAATGACCGAGAAGACGTCGACTTGTGCGCTCTAGAGGTTCTCCGTATCGACTCCTTTCATATCGATTCGACGTCAATCTCCTGCAGAATCAACGTCTGCAAGTAGCGTGACTTTAGCATTACACTCGCTGTCATGTTTCGTCGGCTGAGAAAAGCCCTCGTCGTTTAGATTTTTTCTAATTTAACTTAGAAATTCGTATGAAGAGTCGAGTTTTGTGTATGATAATCATAGAGGTTTGGAAAGAGCGTGAAATTACGAGGATCAAGTTTAGCAAAAATATTAGAATTATGCTTCGGTGATCATTCATGAATGTGCACTTAATTTCCGAGTTATAATCGACGACCGTAATTCTAGGAAGTTCTGCTAGATGCTATTATACTAATTCGCGGAAATTATCAATATCTCGTTCGTATTGAACGATCAATATTAACTTGGAAACCACCGATAATCGTTCGCACGATTGAATTACGTTTTACTGTGAAAAATTACTTCTATTTTTTATTCGTGTAGTTGCAAAAGTAGGAAATTGACGTTCTCAAACTTCACCACAATTATGACTAAAAACTTTCAAGAATTAGTACAATTTAATAACAACTCTTCCTTCGGACGATTTTATTTCACAATTGGTTCACAGATTTTTGTCACAAGTCTAAATCTATCAAAATACATTTATACTAATCGCACAAAAATGTAGCAAAGGAATTGATAAAAAAAAAAAAATAGTTAGTTCACGTATTCAAGCGTGTTGTTCTCGTTGTTCTCCTCGTTCGGTAATCCCAGTGTTTCTTCAACTTCTCCCGCAGAATTTCCCGGCGGTACGTTGCTATTTCGCGAAGCATCCTCTCGGCTGGTCGTTGATTTTCGTCGTTCTACCACTTCGTCCGCTTCGTTTCCGCTGTGTTTCGCACTGTCATCCGCGTCCTCGTCGCTGGACTCGTTACAATTCTTTCTGGAACTCTCTTGATCCTCGTTCCTCGCGCGAGGGGATTTGGTCCTTCGTCTTCTGCGGTCTTGTTTCTTCTCGACTGTCGCCTGTCTGTGCATACTTCGAGTCCTCCTTATTCCCTGCAGGTCCTCCTCGCTTTTGTCGGGCGTAACGTTGGACAGGTGGCACATTATCGTCTTACTTCTGAAACGTGGGAATATAATAGAAGATTCCAAAGTGCTCTTCAAGTAACTTATTATTTTTTAACGATCGTTCGCCGTTCTGCTTGCAAAAAAAAAAAAATATATATAAATTCTATGGTAAAGTATGCCACTTGAAAATTGTTTGTTAAACTTCTCCCTTCTAGTGTGTATCACGTAGCCAATTCTTTTTGTGACTGTTTGTTAATTATATTTTATTCAGATATTCTGCAGGTTATTTTGTCGTTATTTTTTAATGCTAAAAATTGGGTAGGAATGATAAAATATGAGAAAATAATTTGGGTATGAAAGGGTTAGTCAAAATGAAATATTCTCAAGAAATACCAAGAGTAGACACAGTGATTTTTAAGAACAAAGCGTGAAATATCGAACGCATAATAAATAGAAGTCTGCTAACTTTCTTTTCGTCGTCTTTTTTTTGCCACGTCGAACACGCTCCGGAGACTTCTTGCTGGTAGTCCTCCTCGGTCGTTTCTCGGGCCATTTTGTCAAAACAGAAGTTTTCTTCCGTTTTCGAGGAGGCTTCTCCGGTTTCGGTGTATCCTCGCGATATTTCTGCATGCCCCACGGTGGAGTCGGTCTTCGTGTCACTTTATTATCAGATATCGGGTTGTCCACACCCCTTCGTGCGTTTCTTCGCCTCTTGCGCGACTCCGCGTCGTTCTTCTTCAATTCCATTAGCGTTGGAGACACGCGAATCACTTGTCCTTGGGGATCGGTTGGAATTAGGTAGCCGGACTTCACGCCAAATGAGAGTGCTTTGCGTAAGTATTTTTTCGCCTGTCGTTTCCCTGACAATATTGTACCAAATTCATTCAATTACCTATATACTGTTTAATACTCTTCAAGGACACAAATGACTGAAGTATTAGTTAGCATTAAGCTAAAATTGAAGTTTCATCTAAAAAGAATGAAAACAGGTCAAGAATTGAAGTTATTCGAAGTTATATATCGCGATAGAAATTCGGTAGCTTTGATTTCAGTCGGAAAGAATTAACTTCTACGCCTAATACATAAAATTACTAAAAAAAATCTCTCAAAAGAAAGTAAAAAAAATAGGGAAGATCAAAGGACAGCGAAGTGATACCTTCCTCGATCCCAGCTTTGATGTAATTGTTGATGACCTGGACGAGAGATTTCTTCTTAAACAGCGCCCTGGTGTTATCGATCGATTTCGCGAGCGCAATCGGTTCCACAGAGATATTCGATGTGCTGCTGTTCTCGGAGTAGCTGGCCCTCGAGCTGTTTGCGGCGTCCATCACCCTCGACCAGTTCTCCACAGACGTTGCCGCGGATTTTGTGTACTCTGACTCCCCGATGGATGCCGAACTATCGCGAAGGGGTGAGCTATCGTACGAGGATTCTCGACCGTTTTGATATTTCCGCATTTTTCCACGAAATCTACCGCTTCCCGAGGCTCTGCTCGCTCTTTCCTCTGAAAGAATCCCACCCCGTATGCCCCATTGATTGTTACCTTAGAACGTGTTCGAGACGATGCAATATTACGTAAAATATGATCTATCGTAAGGGGTGAATTCGGTATTATGGGAAGTACTGTAGAGGTAGGATCGCGTGTGAAATCGTTGTTACGTGACACATGTTCGATATCGGAATCACATTTGCCTTTTCCTACGATCTTTGGCAATTTTTTAGATACCTCTCGCGTTACTGGAGTTATGTTTTCAAGTTTGCAAAGTGGGATTTCGCGGTTAACGGTGAATCGAGATAGGAGAAGTCTGGTTTGTGGTGTATACACTGAATTGAACTTCGGAGATAACAGTGATTCGTGTTGCTTTCAGTATTCTGTAGTCAAACGCCGAATTAACTTTGTGTAAATTAGTTGAAAAGAAATTTCTGATACCGGGTGCTTCCACAAAATGTTGACACTCGTATAAAGAATTTTTACACGTATGTAATTTCGACCTGGTATTAATAATAATGGTGAGCAAATTCATTTTTTTTAACGTGACTTTTGAAAATGTCACTTCCATATAAGTGTCAATACTTTTTCTTAAACATCCTGTATAAGAAGAAACGTTTCTAAAATTTGATAACTATCTTCTCCTCTTAAAAATGTCACTTATACTCAAGTTTCCGCAGTTCGAATCAATTTTTCCGTTAATTCAAGGAAAGAGAGTGTAGCAATTGGTTTCGCCTAATGAAGCACCTTGGTTATGTTCATTGGCGTTCAGCAGTTTATAGACCATCACTCGACGTGAAATGTCTGGCCGTTTACGATGTTGTCGATGAGAACAACGTAGCTCTATCATTCGTTCCTTCCTGGACCTTCCTCTCGGCGGTGCCATTATTCGGCAATAGTACTTCTTTCCTCGTCCCGTGTATAGTTTCTCGCTGAAACAGCGGAGTCGCGGTTGGCGCCGGAAAAAAACGCTCGATTTCAATAGCAACCTCACGTCGAATCTCTGTAATCGATAAAAATAGTATCCAATTCGTGCTACTCATTTCACTGCGTAAACTTTCTCTCTGAATGTTCTTTTTAATTATTTTACAGCGAAGACATAAGACACTCGTTCCTTTTCATATAAACGGATGAATATTTATGTAAATTTTGTTTTCCATCGATTCTGTGAAAATTAGTTTTGTTTAATCCTAACGAGCACGTTCGATTACGTCGTTAGAAATGTCAGACGGGAGAGTTCGTATCAGAAGTCGAGAGTGAAAACACGTTTCTGCCTTGTAGAAGCTTGAAACGCGATTAAAGAATTTCCATCCGGAGTTTCCTCTAAAAATATTGGTTTAATCTTTCCCTGTCGATCCGCCGCGTGAATTATTGAGCCTGGAATTCCATTCTCTATTAAACCATCCCCGACACGTCAAATATCCAATGAGCTGCGATCTTCTTAAGAATTATTCCCGTATCTTTAATCGTTTATTAAATTCACCCGACTGTTCGAAGAAATTTTTCAAATTCTTCGTCTTCTGAATTCTTCATTATCGGTAGTTATACTCTTCTGAAGAAAAAATAATCACACGAGACGGTGGGAAGTGGAAAACTTCGAAGATATCACGTTTAACGCGCCCCGTGTATTACGTCTCGTCATCCTCAGGTTTCAGTTACCGAGCGTAGACGAGAAAGTGTCGTTTTCCGCTCAACTTTCCCCCATTAATTCTACTTAGGATGAATTATAGAAATTTGCTCAACAGAGAATTTCACAGTTTGTACACTCGATTCGTCTCTCCCGCAGATTTCCACGATATTGTCGCGTTGCTTCTCAGACTGCTGGGACAATTTCCGAATCTTCAGCAGTCGAGATCTCGTCATGGTTGTCGCGGTCAGATTTCACAAGCAAGAAGGCGTTAACCCCAGTTTGCACAACTTCACCATCGACCAGACCAAGTTTCACAACTCTCAATTCGCCACGATCGGGTTTCCCTGTTGCGGAATTATCTTTGTATCCTGTTTTGCAATTTCGGAACATCGAGTATCGTATTTTGCAACGTCGAGGCCAGTGTTCAGTCAAAGTGATAATTTCAAGGATTGCACCGCTAAACCTAGCGTATCCAAAGTTCTTAACTACTTCGACCGATTCGAAAAATCGATTTTTTTCTATTTCTAAAAATTAACACTTCATTCTCCAGGGTTTTTGGTATTTCAATATAAATTCTTAAAAAAAGGTACTTTTGGAGTAGGCCAAGGTAGCCTAACCCTTGAATAAATCCCGTCACAGTTCCAATTCACATTATAATTCTATAATCCTTCGATATAACAAGCTTACAACCTCCAAAACTTATCATCGCCAATTTCCATAACTCCAAATCCCTGCAGTTCTATTAAATTTCACAATTTCTCCGCTGTCCTGCTCGTCAACCTTGAGATTATCGCCTAGAAATCCCTCGACAAGACGTTTCATCAGCGTCACTCTGTTCCCGAACTCGTCGTTATCGTCCATCGTAACCCCATGTACGATAACCCTCGCCCCATAAAATCTCCAGGATCCAAGGTCTTCTCGAGTACCGTTTCCTATCAAACTTTCTCGTCGAATCTGGCCTAACAGGTGCTGGCGGAAGTTTTTACGTTTTCTCTGTGTGTTTGTGTCTGTGTTTGTACGTATCTGTGACTTTTCTTCCAGGATCGCCATAGAAGCTGTCGATTTATTGTACTTTGATCGTTGTTCGAGCAGTTGGCTCGTTTGCCTTTTTCGGTCAGCTTCTCTCGTATCGATCAGCCGTCTCCTCCCATGGAGGAGAAACGTTTCGAGGTTTGTCCTTGACTTTGCGGAAACCGCCAGCATCCCCCGTGAATTCGGCGTTCCTTGCGCTCGGATGACTGTCACGAGGAGTGCCACGGTTCCGTGAATACTTCGCCGCCGGGATTATCGCGGATTTCCGACTCGTTCGAGCAGAATGCAACACACGCAGAGACGCTCGATGAGGCTGGCCTTCTAAAGGTGCATCCGCCTTGTTGGAATTGCTCGTAGAACACGTTTACGACACGGATAATTATTTTTTAGAGACACCGATTTAACAGATTTTTAAAATAATTAATTGTCTCGGGATTAAGTAATTAGTTGTCTAAGGATTTTCACAGTTTGCAAGTTTCTCGAAGAAAAATTAGACTTAACGTTTGTTTCAAAATTGTGACTGTTTATTTTCCAGTAGAACAGTTTATTCACGAAGCAACGTTATTTTCTATTTTTCCCATGAACACGCAGAAACATCAAAATATTCCCCTGAAGAATATTTCTCTTTACACCTGGGATATCTTGCCAGAGAAACCCGTACACATTTTTCATTTCCATATCACAGGGGAGTAATATTGACTTGCTCGAAGGGTTAGTAATGTTACCTTACAAAATATCCAAGAAAAAGGAACCTCAAACCATCTCCTTTGCCCATTCATTCATGAAGTCTCTATTCATGCTTCAGTGTGTATTCTTATTTCTCGAGTTTCTTTAGCTGCCAAGTAGGAATCGAGTTTTCTGTTCATCGATGGTCCACTGATCAGTGTTCTGATAATCGAAATTCTACTATCCCATTCACTCGTAAAGTCTCTATTCTTACTTGCCAATCTCTCTTAGCTGCCAACTGTTAATCGAATTTTGTTAATCGATGTTCCACTAATCAGTGTTTTTATACTCAAGATCCCACCGTAGTTACGTTCTTCACATTGTCAACGTTTCGCGAAAATTAAACGAGCGAAAGGGTTAAGCGGAAAGAGCTTCCGTAGACCAGGAAGTAAAAACGAGAATCTTCCGTCTGAAATATCCTAAATCGACTGTCATCCTGACAAAGATGGAGTCAGCCTTGAATCTGAACGTCTTTGTACCCGCCATTCTGGAAGCCGAACGATTCGGTGTAGTGCTCGTTCCTCGACGTAACGCGTGTTTCGAAGGGCAGGTGGCAATAATACACGGACGAAAGTTCGTGTCGTGATCGTGAACGCAATGTCTCGTGGTAATGCTTCTCTCTCTCCTTGAGAAGAATGTCGTAAAACTGTGGTGGATGCAGGTGAGCAGCGAAGAAAAGAAGGAAAAGACATTGGAATCCTCTGGGGAGGCTTTTTCTTCTGGCAACGTTCGGTGCCATTAAAAGGGAGCATCGCGTTTCTTCTCCCTCTTAAGGTCGACGTTTGCCGGTCTGGAAGCTCGTGAAAATAGGTCAAGCATCGAACGATTGTCCGATCCGACGACGTTTCACGTCGTTGACAGCCTGATGCAAACGCGTTCGACGTGGCTCGTTTGCGAATAGAACGTGTGTATCGTTGTACTCGAGTTGGTGTACTGGTGAAAATGAATTTCAGGGTTCAGGGGTGGACGGACGAGTGAATAAGTGCGCATAAGCGCGTTGTAAACGTTGCAAAGTGTAAGATTCAACCGTGGGACGATTTCCTGGGAATCTGAGAGGAACGAGAAAATGTTTCGTTAAAATCTATATTTTATCTCGTTCTGGGAATAGGGTGACGAATCTGAGGATTTTTCTGTGTCAGAATATTGTAGAAAAGTAGTGTTTGATTTTCTAATTAATCATATTAAACAAGTATTCTTCTGAGTAACAAAGATTCATTAAAATCGGTGATTATCACTTCGGTGATATGAATAAAGTATACTTAACACGTTGATTTTTTATTTAAATACAACACATCTCAATATGCATAAATAATATGTCCACAGTTAGAAATAGGACTATTTTACGAATGTTACCATTTATTCAAATTAAATGCTCTCACTAATCTCGGCACCGATCACCGATGATCTCCGCGGCATTCAACGTGCTAAAATAAAAAAGTGTCACCTAGGGATATTCCCTTGTTAGCCTAAACACACTTGGGCCACCCGCGCGATATTACAGTAGTTACAAAATTTTGCTGTATTTTGCATTGTTTATTTAACGCGAAGAAATTTTCAGCACAGAAAACTGAGATGACACA